GGGGGGGGGGGGGGGGGGGGGGGGTCTTTATAAGCACCTCAAGGCCAGGAGCCGGCTCTCTTCGTGGACCCAGGGCTCCTGTGCCTGGCTTTGTCCCCAGATGGCAATTTGCTAGCCCTCACTGGGTGACACTGTCCCTCCCCTCTCTGCCACAGCGGATTTTGGCCTGGCCCGGGCCTATGGTGTCCCCGTAAAGCCTATGACCCCCAAGGTGGTCACCCTCTGGTGAGTACCTCAGATGCATGGTGGCCCCAGGGACCAAGCATGCCTAGTGGAGGGCCACTTGGGGATGTCAGGCTGGAGCTGCAGACAGGCCTGAGGGTCTCTAAGCTGTGTGGCTGTGCATACTCAGGGCTAGTCTGGGACAGCGTCTCCAGGCAAAGCAGGCTGTCCCAGGTATAGGACAGCCGTCACGCTCAGTGGCATTGAGGACTTGCTGCATCCAGGTGAGATAGCCAGAGCATCCTGGCTCTGAAACCATCTCGGGAATGGAGAGTTGCTTCACCGCCGGGAGGGTGGGCAGCTTATGAAGATTTCTGTAATTATTTTTCATTTATGGTTTTAACAAGCAGAACAGGGTCATGGTTACAGGCAGGACCTCAAAGTCAGTCAGATCCAGGTCAGAATCCCCACATGGCCTTTCTCTGCCATGTCTCATTTAAGACCCTTGAAAGCAGGCTGATGGTGGTGGCTGGTTGTAGGTCTGTGCCAAGGACTCAGTGGTCCGTATGATGCATGCAACACTGTTGCACCTCCAGCAGCTATGACCTCCTGTGCTGCCTCCAGCAGCTATGACCTCCTGTGCTGCCTCCAGCAGCTATGACTGCCTGTGCCGCCTGTGTCTGCAGGGCTTAGAGCAGAGGACAGTCCAGGCTCGGGCTAGCAATCCTGTCGTTCAGGCCTCGACGGGCTCTCTGGGGGGCTATGTCCTGCAGAGGCCTGGCTGGTATGAGGTTGGATGCTTCTGTTTGCAGGTACCGAGCCCCCGAACTGCTGCTGGGAACCACTACCCAGACCACCAGCATTGACATGTGGTGAGAGGTGGCTGCTCCTCCGTGGTCTGAGGGACAGGGGCAGGAGTGGGGCTGGGGTCTTTGAGCGGGGCCTGAGCCTGGGAACCCGAAAGGAAGTGTGAGAACAGCCTCAGCATTCACATGCCTCCAGCACTGAGGTCCCCAAGAGGCAGGGAGCTCTGCTGGGAGTGGGTCATGGGCCAGGGTCAGGGAGCCCAGTGGTCACTGGGTCGTCCATCGTGGCATCCCCAGCCCAACATGGGTCGTGGTGGCATGGCGCTCAGCAAAGGCTTGTGGTAGCAGTGAGGCCTGTTTTTCTCTGCAGGGCCATGGGCTGCATCCTGGCCGAGCTGCTGGCCCACAAGCCTCTTCTCCCTGGCACTTCTGAGATCCACCAGATCGACCTGATCGTACAGCTGCTGGGGACACCCAGTGAGAATATCTGGCCGGTGGGTGACCCAGGCAGCCCCTCCACCCACCATGCATGCCTGACCCCCTCTGTGGCTTTAGCTCCTGCTTTCCACAGGGCTTCTCCAAGCTGCCGCTGGTGGGCCAGTACAGTCTCAGGAAGCAGCCGTATAACAACCTCAAGCACAAGTTCCCATGGCTCTCAGAGGCCGGCCTGCGCCTGCTGAATTTCCTCTTCATGTATGACCCTAAGAAAAGGTGCTGACCCTGCCTGTGGTCAGGACGGGAGGGCCCTGACCTCTGTGCAGAGGTGGAGGGACACCTGAAACCCAAAACCTTTAAAGATAGTTTCTCGGAACACTAGCCAAACTTTGCCAGGAGGTATCCCCCACCCCTGAAATCACGCACACTTGCCAGGCACCCAGTTCAAGTGATCTCTGCCCACCCAGGTTGCGGAACCCACTCTGGGGTTCTCCTGGGTTTCTGGGCCCCAATCCCTGTTTGACCTCATCTTTCTGTTGTCGGAAAATTGAACCAGAGGCTGCTGAACTGGGCGGGGTGTGGGAAACAGGTCTCAGGGCTGTCAAAACCAAGGGTCCCATTAATGGCACCACCTTTATCTAGGGCAACAGCCAGGGACTGCCTGGAGAGCTCCTACTTCAAAGAGAAGCCCCTACGTGAGTCCTTCAGATCCCCTCAGGCCCCACTCTGCAGGGGCTTGGCCTGCAGTTTTCTCCAGGCTGGGCCCTGGGCAGGCAGGCAGTCTGGCCCCACCTGCAGCTGTGCAAACCCACCTGGGGCAGGAAGGGAGCAGAGGTGTGGGGCAGCCCAGGCCAGGCCTGCACGCAGAGCCAGCTCACAGCTGGAGCTCACCCCCCTGCCCTGCGCCCCATCTCATGTCTGCCTGGGAAACTGTACCCCTGCCTGGCGCTGAATGACTCCTCTCCCCACAGCGTGCGAGCCAGAGCTCATGCCCACATTCCCCCACCACCGCAACAAGCGGGCCGCCCCCACTACATCCGAGGGCCAGAGCAAGCGCAGCAAGCCCTGAGCCAACTCAGCCACATCCTGCAGCCAGCGGTGGACAGAGAGGGCCCTGCAGGCAAGGCTGACCACAGTCCTGGCATCCAGCTGACCCCACCCCCTTGTCTTCTCTGTGCCCACTGCTACCCCCAGGCACAGGCAGGGTGTGCACATGGCGACACTGGCGTGGGGGCTCCCAGCCTGGGCACTGGGAGGGTCTGCGTTGTGGCAGCACCATCTGGTGGCCGTATGGGGTCTTGCCCGTTTCTCATTGCATCCACCGAGCTCCCGTCTGGTGGAAATGGGGGGCTCAACTCTGGGTGTCCTGGAGCCATGGCTGGGCGCTGGCCTGGGGCAAGCAGACCCCAGGAGACTGCTCGTGTTCCTTCTTGGTCACCAGGGACTGCCCAGGGCCCGGACAGACTGTGACGACCCCAGGCAGGGCCACAGGAGGACACTCCTGAGACCAGTGCAGCAAGAGCCCTGGGCCGCCTTCTGTTCTCTTGTGAGGCCCTGCAGGGAGGATGCCAAGTGAGGGGGAGGTGGGCTTCTGTCCTTGAGTGTGACAAGTAAAGCTTTCCCAACAGATGTGGCTCCACCATCATTTAATATACAGTGTCCTCAGTGTGCTGGGGGCAGAGTGAACAGAGGGATGCAGGAGCAGGTCTAGTCTGGAGGGGTGCTGGGTCGGGAGAGGGCTGTTGCTGTACCTGCTTCCAGTGGCTGGGGAGGGGGAGATGGGGACCACCCTCCTCTTTCTGCAGCCAGCTCATCAGCCCCAAAAAGTGGGCCAGAGCAGAACCACCTCCTCTCTATCTTGTCCAGGGAGCTCTGGGCTGCCCCCTGGGTGAAAGAGCTGTGGCTTCTGCCCTTCCTGGCCCTGGGAGTGTGTCGCATCTCTGCTTGTACTGCCTCAAGCAGTGGCTGAACAGGAGCTGGACTGACAGCCTGCGGGACCCCCACTCCCAACTTCCAGCTGGGAGGTGGCCAGGGTGCTGGTTGCTGAGAGCCCCCCACACACACACACCTGGTGGGGGAGCAACACTCATGGGCTGCCTGGGTTTTGTCAGTTTGAGATCAGACCATTTCCTCTCCAGCCATGGACCCAGCTCCCCCCAGGCGCACAGGCCTGGCCTCACACTCAGCACTCTGCTTATTTGTGTGGGCCTATGACACCGAGGGAGGGCTGGGACCCCACAGCCCACCCCCCAGGGAAGCTCAGCGTCACCTGCAGGCCCTTGGAGACGCCCCTGTGTGTAGAGTCCCCAGACACTTGGAGGGAGGCAAGGCATCCTAAACCACAAACTCCAGGGAATGGGCCAGGAGCTACAGATTGGCCAGTGGGCCTCAAAGGGGCATTGGGATCCTCAAGGACAGGTTGGGCATTGGGACAGGGGTACACCGGCTAGGTGCCTCTACTCAGCACATCTGGGCAGGGGTTTGGGCACTGAAGAAAGCCCAGCTCAGGGCTCTGCTGGCCAGGGCTGAGGTCTGTCCTCAGTGAGGAGAGCTTGGCGCAGCCACAGACAGGAACTTTCCATGGAAAGCAAGACCCCACCTCCCACCTTGTGGGGCCTCGACTCTCCAAACCTCTCATGCTGTACCCAGGACTCTCCCAGGGACAGGAGGGGCAGGGTGGCCAGTGGCCCAGGCCCTAGGAGGCCCAGAACTCCCCCCACCCCTGCCCAAGAGAAGCACCACAAAACTGTCTCCCGGTAGCCCTCGACCTGGGGCATGGCTGGGCCTAGGGCTGGGACCCAGGGCTGTCATAGAGCAGGGTGTCCACCTGTGCACGCTGTAGCCACAGGCGCCGCTGTGTGTCTCCCAGCAATGCACGCAGCGAGTGGCCCAGGCGGCAGGTGGTCAGAACTGCACAGTGGGCGGTGTGCAGCTGGTGGCAGGTGTCACAGCAGAGAGTAGGCAGGGTGCCAGGGGGCAAGCAGCTGTGTGCCTGATAGCCCTGGGGCTCAGGGAGTCGCCCGTAGGCTGAGACTGGGCCCCCTTCTGCCTGCATATGCCGAGGGCTGGCCCGCCCAGGACTCCCTGGGCCTTCCGGAGCAGCCAGGTCCCCCGGCCTACTCAGCTCACGGCGCAGTGAGAGGAAGGAGAAAGCTGAGGGCTCGGGCTCCAGCTCCTCTTCCAAGGCCCCATAGGGTGGGCTGCTGGCCCGTGGCAGCTCCTCAGCTGGGGGCTCCCAGGCCCGGCCCCCAGTGCCCCATAGTTTGGCGCTCTGCTCCCAGAGTGGTGGCCTGTAGGCCAGCTCCACTGGAGGTGAGTCTGGCCCTGGTGATGGCCCCCCATACAGGCTGGCCTCCTCCGAGCCCTCATCCTCCTGCAGGTCCTGATACAAGTCCAGGGGGGCCCTGTAGGAAGCAGCAGGGGAGCCCCGGGGTGGCAGGGGCGGTGGTTCCTCATCCCGGGCCAGCCGCTGCTGCAGCCAGGCCACACAGGAGGCCACGTCCCCACTGGCTCGCCGTGCTTGCAGCAGCTCCTCGGCTGGCAGCACACTGGTGCCCAGCTGGGCCAGCACCTCGCCCAGGATCTCACACTCCAGACGAAGGGCGAAGCAGCCCAGGGCCACCTGCACCAGCTGGCAGGCAGGGGGTGGGGCCGTCACCATGAGGCGATGGTTGTCCCTGCGCACATAGCCCATCTTCTGGAAGCTCTTGATAAGGAGGTCCTCTGAGAGCACGCCCTTCAGCACGTGCACATAGCCACCTGAGAAGGTCTGCAAGGGAGGGGCCTGGTCAGCAGCAGCCCAGACCCTAGGGTGCAGTAGATTCTGGCTCAGTCCCATTCCGGCCTTGGCCAGCTCCTTTTGCTTGGGCCCACCCCAGAAACTGATCTAATTGGTTTGGGGCAGGCTTGGGCATTAGAAATTTAAACATTAAAAACAAAACAAACAAAACTAGTACATTCACCTGGCTCCTAAGTCAGAACAAGATAAAGAGCCCCTGTACTGAGAAATTCCACTGTCCTCTGGATCCCCTCCAGCTTTCACCCCTGGAGATTTACAACTCTAGTTTCCAACATCCTTGCCTGCGTGTTGGTTATGCAAACACAAACAGACACTCTAATTTGCTCCTCTTAATAAGTGGCCTCTTAAACACACTGTTCTGAACTTTTCTTTCCATTACAGTCTTGGAGATCTTTCCCTATCAGGACAGAGGCTTTACCATTCTTGTTTTCCAGAAGTATAGTATTCCACCAGGCGGATGAAGCATGGGTGGATTTTAAAGCTCTCCAGAGGCCCTAATGTGCAGCTGGGCTGAGAGCCCCAGAATAACAGATGGGAAAGTGCTTTCTAGCCTACAAAGTTATGTGAAGGGCTGAAAGGACTGTCAGGACGATGATGGTGTGCCTCTCTCAACCCTAACACTTTATAACTCAGAGCGCTGGGACACTGACGCCTCCCATGTCCTGAGCACTGTGTGCCTGCATCGTGCTCAGGCCTTCGCATTCAACCCTATGGGCCCTAGGAACTGGGCTATTCTCAGTGGAGGAAACGGGTTCAGAGAAATTAGGAAACATGCCCAAAGCCACACAGCCAGGAGGCGGAACCAGATCCGAAGCCTGGTCTGCCCAGCGCTGAAGCCTCTGCCAGGTGTTCCTCCCCAACCCCGCCTTTGAGCGCCTCAAGGGAAGGCCTATCTATTCTGCTTCGGGTCCCCACGGAGCTGACGGGCCTCCTACCCTCTTGTCTGAGTGGATGAATGAGAGTCCTAGGACCGCTGGCCCGCAGGGGAGGCGGAGAGAGAGGAGAGACGCCACTGCCATGGCAACCGGTGGGGGCGCACTTCGCCCACGTGCGCAGTGACGTCTTCGCCTTCCCACTCTGCAGTCACCTCCGAGCGCGGCGCGGCCCTGCCCCCTCCCCGGTCGCAGCTCGCCGAGAGGGGCCCGCGCACGGCCTCCGAGACACGCCGGGGAGGGAACTAGGTCGCGCCCAGCCCCAGCCGACGTCCTAGGGGATACACCCCTTTCCGGGCTCCGCTCCCAGCCTCGGCCCACATCCTGGAGAAATTAGCATGACCATGGGACCTCAAGTCCCTCCTGTGCGCCTGTCCCAGGATTTTTGTGGCAACTAGGGCCGCGAGACCACTTTGGGAAGGACAGAGACGCAAGCTTTAAGGAGTAAGACCCCCATCCCCCAGTGGGCAAGCACTCAAGCCTGTCCTCCCACCCCACGTTCTCGGCCCTGAGAGTGCCCGAGGGGACCTCGGCTGGGAGCTGCCCCAACACGCCCACAGCGCCTCAGTGCTCGAAGCCCTGCGAAACCCACCGGGCCCCGAGGACACCTGAGAGCCTCTCCCCCGAGGGGAGTGGTCCTCCCGACGGTGGCAGCCTGGGCAGGGGGAGCTGCTGAGGCCCTGTCCCCGGCGGGCCCGGACGAGGGTCGCGCCCCCTCGGCCCGCCGCCCTACCTTGATGGTAGTGAACTCCTTCCTCCAGGGCAGCAGGTATAGGTGCACCGCGGCCAGTTCCAGCAGCTCGAAGGCGCGGGCCAGGCCGCGTAGCGCGGGCGCCAGGTCGGCGCGGCCCCAGAGGCCGTCGGTGAGCAACGCCAGCGCGTCGTCCTGCAGCGCCCCGTGCAGGTCGAAGTCCTCTACCAGGATCTGCCAGAGCACGGCGCGCAGCGAGGGGTCCCCGCACACGCCCGCGCGGCCGCGCCGCAGCTCCCGCTCCAGGCACAGGCGGTAGTCCTCGGAGAGCGAGCTGCTGCCCATCCTGCCGGCGGGGCGGGGTGTCAGGAGCCGGAGACGCCGACCCCGCCGGCTGAGCGAAGCCCCGCATCTGTAGCCTCCTCCCCGGCTGGACCCCTCCAACTGAGCGCCCCCCAACCAGCACCCACAGGTAGCCCCTCCAGACTGGAGGCCTCGGCCCTGCCAACCTGGTGTCCCCGTACCTACAGCGCTCCCCTTTTCTGGAGACCCACTCCGGCCAGCTGAGCCGCCCTCCCGACCACAAAGCCCGTCGCCCACCAGATCGTGCGGTGGACCCCGCGGGCGAAGGAGCTACCTGTCTGTCCCCAGTGGTTCCCAAGCCACGGCCGCTCAGCCTGGGCCTTCCCCCTGCCCAGCCGCTCGCTTCCGCCCGGCCGGCTCCGCCCACAGGCCTCGACCGTGACGTCAGGGGCGTGGCTAGTCTCGGTACCGCCCCCTCGACTGACGGGCTGGGCGGGTCAGCCCGAGGGCGTGGCCGTGCGAGTTTCTGAGCCGCGGGGCGGGGCCTCCGGGCCCTGGGCAGGGCCTGCTGCAGGCCCAGGAGGCGCTCCCCGACGAATACCTGCACCAGGCACCTCTGCGGCCACCTGTCACCGCGTCACCCGTCTCCCACTGGGCCGGTGTCCTTCACGGCCGACCCACGGGCCGAAGGCTGCGGTGACCGAGGCCCGAAGACGCCGCGACCCGCACACTCACCGGTCGGCGCAGACTTGCCGGCGCATACCCTGGCGGCCTGCGGCCTCCGGGGAAGCAGGTGCCCGGGGTCCTGCCGAGCCTGCCGGGGCAGGGCCGCCCGCATCGCCTGGCGGCGAGAGGCTGGATACGGCGAGGGCGGGCCGGGGGCTCCACTTGGTGCTAAAGGCATTTTCCACGCAGTCTCCGGGGGTGGAGGAGATTCTGCCCTTGCGGGTCCCAGCTAAAGACGCGAGGGCCGGCTCTGCTCCTTGACTTGAGTACCCTCACTTCTCCAGACCGCCAAAACCAAGGCCCAAGTTTTTTGAAATGGGGCCTGACAGGGGGAAAGGTCCCTGCTTTCTCTTAGAATTTTCACCTGGTCGTTCCCTGCTATCCTGTCATTAGATGCTTCAGAGACTTGTGGGCAGGACTCCCTGAGTCCTTTTGCTGGCCACCACTAGACACGAAGTCTTTCGCTTGCTGTTTTCTGAACCTGCCTTGGTACCAAGTGCCATCCATGGGACCACACCAACTGTAAGGGGACAGCTAAGTTCACGCTCCTGCAACTCCCTTCATTTTCTTTTTGTGCAGAATAGGGTTGACTTAACTGCTTTCCCCAGTCTGTGACTGAGTTCATATGACGCTGACTCCTTCGTCCAACAGCAGGTCTAGTTTTCCTCTCCTTCAGCCTGGGTGGGTTTTTGCACCTGCCTTGACGTGTAGACTGGAAATGACATTGTGAGACTTCTAAGACTAGATCATAAAAATGCCATTTCCAGGGCCGGCCCGTGGCTCAATTGGGAGTGTGGTGATGATGGCACCAAAGTCATGGGTTCGGATCCCTATATAGGAATGACCAGTTGGCTCACTTGGGAGAGCGTGGTGCTGACAACACCTAGTCAAGGGTTAAGATCCCCTTACCGGTCATCTTTAAAAAAAAAAAAATGCCATTCCCCCTGCCCTGTTGTCTCGAGATGCTCATTCTTGGAACCCAGCCGCTATACTGTGGGAAAGCTGGCAGCCCATGGAGACTTTGTACCGAGCTGAGCAATGTCCACCTGAAATTCATGTACACCTGGAAACTGAATGTTATTTGGAAATAGGGTTTTTCTGCATGTAACCACGTTAAGATGAGCTTATTCTGGATTAGGATGAGCCCTAAATCCAGTATGACTGGTATCCTTATGAGAAAAATTTAGACACATACAGAGGGTAGATGGCCACGTGGAAATGGAGGCAGGGACTGGAGTGATGCGGCCACAATCCAAGGGACGCCAAGGATTTCCAGAGCCACCAGAAACTGGAGGAGGCAAGGCAGCGTTTAGGATGAAGTCCTAAGGACTTCAGAGGCAGTGCAGTCCTGCTGACACCTTGGTTTCAGATTTCTGGCCTGCAGAACTGTGAGAATAAATTTCTGTTGCTTTAAGGCTCCCTTTTAGTGGCATCTTTTTACAGCAGCCCCAGGACACTCCCCAGGCCTCACAGAGTTGTTCTGACAGCCGACTGAAGTCCTGGCCGCAGCCAGCATGCATTGCAGACAGCAGATGGATGCTCAGATGAGCCAAGCCCTAGTCATCAGGCTACCCCAACCTGGAAGCTGCCCTCCCTGATGCCGGAAGTACAGTCTGAACCCTGCCCAGATCGAAAGTGCATGAACAAAATAACTGTTGTGTACATAGCCAGTGAGCAAGGTGGTTTGTTATGCAGTGGTAGCAATCTAGGGCTGGTGCCATCACATTCTCTTTCTGCTGTCCCAGATAGATGCCACATCGCCTCAGCTCTGTGCATACGCATGCTTCTATGGACCTCAGGCTATAAGCAGGAGCAAACTTGCAGGTCAGAGGGTTCATCTACACTTACCTTGGCCCAGGACTGCCAGCTGGTTCTCTGGGTCCACCTACTCCCGCCAAACCACCCTACCCAGCTTTGTCCAGCTTTCTGATTTTCACCAGCCCATTGGGTGTAAAGTTCTATCGTGTTTGAATCTGCATTTCCTGATTTTTGTTGATTTTGAATATCTCTTTTTTTTTTTTTTTTTTTTTTTTGTCTTTTTGTCTTTTTTCCGTGTCCGGCAACGGATCGCAACCCTCAGTGTTGCCCCCGTACCGGACCGGGGACCGGCAACGGGATCGCAAGCCTCGGTGTTGCTCCCGCGCCTCGCTCAGCCAGTGAGCGGGAACCGGTCTATATGTGGGATCCGAACCCTCGGACGGGAGCGCCGCCGCGCTTCCCAAGCGGCGCACTATCCAGTGCGCCATCGGGCCGGCCCTGAATATCTCTTCTTATGCTGGCTAAGTTTTCTGGTTTCCTTCTCTACAACTAGCCTGTTTGTAGACTTTGCTATTTTTCTTATTGGGGCTCCTCCCTTCTTGATTTGCTGAATTTCCAGTGGGACGTTTCTATTATTCATCCTTGTTTTATGGAGGAGCCTCAGGGTCAGAAGGCTAAAGGACTAGCTCACAGTCACACAGCGAGAAACAGCGCCTGAACACAAGCCTGCCTGATCTTGGTGCCAAGGAGACAGGTGAGCCAGAATATTCCGAGCTGTCAAAGCACTTGGTGCTGCAGGTGTGGCCCTCATGCAAAGCCAAAAGGTACTCCCGATGTTAGGACTTGCTCAGGACACAACTCACCCTCCGCTGTTCTACAAAGTGGGCTTTAAAATCCCATCTTCTAGATGACAGAGTTGAGGCCTGGAGTGGGGATGTTACCCACCAGGCCTCCATGGCTGACTGGGACTTATATCCAGGTTTGGGGATTCAGAACTCTGCTCCTCACAAGAATACAAGCTTGTGAATAGAGATAACATTCTCGCCTGGAGCCAGCAGAATGCCGGGGAGTCTAAGGGTAGGGCTGGCCATGGGTTTGGGCCTCTTCTCTGCAGAGGGCTGGGATGCACAGGACTGAAAGCTTCAAGCACAAGGCAGAGCAGGTGTGTGCTGGCCTGTTTGTTCCTGGGGCACTGGGTGAGGGGCTGGCGGCAGGGAATTGCTGAGTCAGGGGGGCCCCTAGCTTATTCCCACCTTATGAAGGCTCCTGCCAGAGGACCCTGCTCCAGCCCAGCCAGGCACTGTTCACAGGCTGGTCCCTGAAGTTGGCCTCCCAGACTCAGAGCCAGCTCTGCCACCCACCTGGAGAGGTACATCACTTGTTTGCTCATGGGGTCCTCATGAGGAGTAAACCGGTTATTGCCTGTGGAGGGTTCTGAACAGTGTCACACAGATGCCAGCTGCTACTGTTTTTTAAGACTCACTCCCCAGGAAACCACCCCCATGGTCAGCTGCTGGTGGTCTGGGACTGAGACCCTCCCTCAGCACCCGGCCACCTGCCGCCTCCCCTCCAGGGCCCACACACTACCACCAGGGGGCATTCATGTTGTGTCCCCCAACGTACAGAATGATGATGATTCCCGAGAGGCTTTCAGGTGAGTGCTCTGGGCTCAAGTCCTCAGCGGTGGCCTCACCCTGGCCCCCAAACCCACTGATGCCTTGCCAAACTGTCCCATTCTAAAGGGTGAAGCCCACACCTCCCTGGCCAGATACAGCCCCAGGATGATCTGTTCCTGCACAGAGGATCAGGTGGAAGCAGCTGTGGCTCCTCATCCCCTGACCTCAGTGGTCTCTGCAGTGGCCAGTAGGTGGGTGCCAAGTGAGCAACACTGAAAGACAGCAGGACCCCTTTATTTCAGATGGGTTGGTGGCCGCACAGGGGCACGTAACAGTTGAGGGTGCTGATCCTGGGGCTCACGCTGAGCTGGGAGAGGATGTGCAGGGAGCGGGAGTTGGCCGGGGGTTCTGGAATATCCAGTGCCCATGGCCCAGGTAAGCCAGGAGCAGAGACTGTTCTGGGCCCAGGTGGGAGGATGGGCAGGGGAGGCCCTCCCTGTAGTAAGCAGCACAGTCTCCCACCAACCAGGCCCAGGCCACGCTCTTTCTCGACTCCAGTGAGAGACTGGCTCAGAGGAGCCTAGACAGTCCCAGGGGATGGGAGGGGAGAGAAATCAGACCACTGCTGTCAGCTGGCTCACAGCCCCCACTCTGCCCTGATGCCCCCCAGGGGCCACCCCAGTGTCCCTGTTGGGGGGCCCCAGGGGAGCTTGTGGCTCATTTTTTAGGGGCTTCTCAGAGCTGGCACAAACGAGAGAAGGGCCTGGTTCCTAGGAATTGATTTGGCCACATCCTATCAGGAGCAGATGCCGGCTCAAGCCCGAGGGCAGATGTGGGTTAGGAATTGGGCAAGAGTTGGAGAGTCCCCCCCACAGTTGGCCCGCCTCCCCAAGGGCCCCAGCACCAAGTGTGCTGGGCAGCATGAAGCTCCTGGACAGTCCTCAGAGGGTCCTGTGGCTCCATGGTGCAGGAAGGACGGCCCTGGGAGGTCTGAACCTTCAGGAACCCTAGGGTCTGACCTCCACTACTTGCCCAGGGCGCCTCGGGGCAGTAGCTCCACGTAGCTCAGGGCACTCTGCAGTGATGTCAGGCAGTAACCCTCTTCTCCAATCAGGTACCTGCATGGAGGCAGCACAGACATTATCTGGAGGGGACAAGGAACACGCCCCAGCACTCTGGAAGGCAGCATGATCAAGGAGCTGGGGAGGCTTTTTCCTCCCATTCTGTTCTCATCCTCGGATGGCAGGGCCAGGGTATGGCCTCAAGCACCCGACAGCTCCCTCCCCAAGCATATGCTGCCCAGGGGACAGCCCCTCAGCTCCTGTCTAGGGAGGGTGTGCTGAGTGGGAGACTATGGGACAGGTTGGCAGTGATCACTCTGCACATGTGGACCCTAGAGGGGCTCCCAAAGCTGTGTGCTGTGACAGGTAGAGCTGCAAAGTGGGCCTTTGGCAGCACCATCTGCTCCCACCAGCCTGCGGTTGCCAAACCAGTGGTTTAGGTCTGGGGGTGAGGTCCCCTGGTGGTCTTCCCATGGAGACCCCCAGCCTGCCCCCACCCCCCGGGGGGCTCCTACCCCTCGTGGATGAACTCCTCCAGGGCCGCGCACTCCGACACCAGCTGGGGGAGGCCACTCCTCAGCACCACGAAGGACAGGATGGGCAGCAGGTCGTCGGCGCCTCTGTGGGCACAGGTGCTGCCACCAATGGGCTTGGGGCAGAGGCCACTCACTCCCCAAAGCCCAGTGGCCCCTGAAGGTCTTGGCTTCAGCTGCTCTCCCTGCTCCCTTCTGGCCACCAGCAGCACAGGAGGCCACCTGGAGCAGCAGGGCTGTCCCCAACAGGAGCCCCTAAGCTGTGGTGCTAGGGCTGGGCCCGTGGCGGCCCCCCTGCCCCTCCAGTGTGTGCTACCCTCATGGTGCAGAAGTGGGGCAGCACAAGCCTGGGTGCAGGATGGTGGAGGGGAGGGCTCCTCTCCCCGCAGGATCCCCTCTAGTCCACCAGCGTCCACCCTGATGTAGCAGTTCTAGGCAGGAGGCTGAGTTTGTGTCACTCAGCACCCAGACCCGCCTCAGGAAGGGTCTCAGTGCACTGAGGGAGTGAATGAAGCCCCCCACAGGGTGCTCAGACCCCACATGCCCCACAGGCAGTAGCCTCTGGGTAGTGTGGGGGGCAAGGAGCCAAGGGGACAGTGAACTTTAAGACTGAGGCACAAGTCTGGCCCCTTCCCTGCAGGCCAGGGAGGCCCCACCTGCCTGCTGTACCTGCAGGACGCAGCTCCTGCCCCCCCACCCCAGCTCCACAGAAGGGCTGTGGCCAGGACTTGCAAACACTTTAGCCCTGGAAATTTCTCACCTGCAGTTGACTTACTCAGAAGCCTGATTTATAAAGTGGGTGAGGGGACCCATGGGAGCCAGGGCAGCTTGGCCCCTTCCCACCAGACCCAGCCACATGGCCCTGGGGCAGGGCGACTGCAGGGACAGGTGTTCTCAGGGGCTGGCCCATGCAGGTGCTGAGGGGGACCTCAGCTCCAGGTGGACACCAAGGCCAGGTCAGAAGATTGCTGGGGAGATTGAGGCAGGATTGGGCACCACAATACCCCAGGACCCCTCAGCTGGGAGGTCAGTGCAAGGAGCAGGCCCTTCCCTGGGAATGGTGGCTTCAGAGGGTCTGCAACTGCCTTGCGCCTGACACGTGAGGGTGAGTGTCAACACACGCTTCTGGGAGGAACAGTCTTAGATTTCACCAGATTAGCCAGGGGGTCCCTGGTCCCTAAGAAGCTCTACCTAGATGGCTGACACGAGTGATCCTGGGGGCTGGAGCCGTGCCCTCCCCAGCCACCCTGCCTTGTCCTCTTGGGACTCACATGGCAGCAGGGGCTCCAGGCTGGGGCCCAGCCTCGGCTACAGCTTCCTGGGCGTGGCAGTAGTCTTCTGCACAGACACAGATGACCCGCAGGGTCCGCACTGCAGTCAGAAGTGTGGCTTCAGGTGGGGGGACTGGGTAGGAGGTGCAACAGTAGGACCCAGCAGGGACAGGAAGGCCCCAAGGGGCCCATGCTACTGCCCCCCCACCGAGTAGCCTGTCAAGGTCCCTGGCATCACTGACCCACCTGCCTCCTGAAATGCAGGGATGGGCAGACTGGAGCAAACCCCCAGGGGTACTGCTCCCACACCACTTATGCCCCACAGGCCCCCCACATTGGACCAGAGAAGAATCTGTAGCTCAGAGGTGAAGGCACAGGCTCCAAGTCACCCACTGGGCCCCCACCTCTCAGATGTCCCCTCACCGATGCACTCCAGCTTCTTTTGGGGGCAGCTCTCCAGGACCAGCAGTCCCAGCTCCTGGGCTGCCGTGCAGTAGGGGTAGACACCAGCCCCCTTGGCCTCAGGGTCCTGGGGGAGGAGCTTGGGGGGGATGCCAATGGCTGTGGGGGGTGCATTCCTGTAGAGCTCCATGCTCCTGCTCAGGGTGGCCTCCCGGGCTCGGTGCACACTCCTGGGTGGAGAGAGGCCAGGCTCAGCCACCCAGGGGACCCCACCCTACTGACAGAGGCAGGGCTGTGGCTGGGGGTCCTTGGGGCTCAGTCTTGGGAAGCTGGTGAAGCTCCTGAGCAAGGCCCCACCTGTAGACTGTAAACACCTGGAGGTGGCCTCAAAGCTGAGCCCCGGCCACAAGCACAAAAAGCCAGATGAAAGTGGACCCTGTGATGGCTGGAGCCGGGAGACCCCAGGTCGTGTGGGTAGGGGCCAGATGGGCCCTACCTGTAGAGCGCCAGCAGCAGAGGCCACAGCGGGGAGAAGAAGGGCTCCTCGATGCACGCCAGGCAGCGGTCCCTGGAGGCAGCTGTGTTTAGGCTTTCAAAGGCCAGGAGGGTCAGTGAGAGCAGCCTGTCTGCCGGGACAGAGCCAGGGTGTCCAGACAGGCCCTCACCTGTGGCCTCCACTGGAGACTCCATGCCTGTGGTGTCCCCCTCCCACCTCGAGCCAGCCTCCCTGAAGCAGAGCAGTGTCTAGACTCGGCAGGGAGGGGGCTCCGCCTGGCCCTTCCCCCATAGCCGTCCCTGCCCTTCCTGGACCAAGGGCTCTGTTCAGGAGAGGGGAGAATGGTCTCTTTCTGAAAAGGACCTGTACCCAAGACCACAGGAACCAGGAAGGAAGTGAGAATCACATGTGAAGACAGGAGTCAGGCCTGGGGAGGCTCGAGCCCTGTCCAGAGTCCCTCAGAATGTGGGCAGCACAGGGAGGACGCACAGTGAGAACCCCTGGCTGTTGGGTCTTCCTCACTGTTCTTAGAAAACCCTAGAAGGGACTCGGAAGTCATCTGCCACCCTGAGCTCCAACCTTTGGGGGAGCTACACACTATTCCAAAGTAGAAAGGCTAACAGGACAGCCATTGACACACCACCAGGCTGCACATGTTCCACAATCCCTGGCTGGGGACTTGAGTCTGACCCAGTGGGACACCAGGACCAACTGCTGACCAGAAGCTCTGTCAGGCAGACTTTTCCCCAAACAGAACACTGGAATGGACCAGGCAGACAAGCAAGGGGTAAACAGACCATGTCTCCTGCCTCCTATGCAGCCCAGTGAGGACACAGCCGGGTGTGGAGGGGGGACCCTGCACTGACACAACTGTCTACCCACCCTCCGAGGGCTGCAGCAGGGCCAGGGCCTGTGCTGCTATGCAGAGTGCTCGGCTCCAGGGGAGGATGGGTGCAGAGGGTTCTGTAGATCAGGGCTGGCCTGGCTGCCATCCAGGGGAGGGACACGGCAAGCTGTACTTGCTGGCTTAAGCCTTCAGAGTCAGAGTGCCCTGCCCCCCCGCCCAGCCCGCGCCCCGCGGGCCTCACCGACAGCATTGTGTATGTCCTTCACGGTGCTCCTCAGCCACTCCAGCAAAGGCTCCCTCTTCACCCCTGGGGTCTGTGGCTCGGGCTGCCCCCCAAGACCCCGACCCCACCTCTCAGACGTAGCCAAAAACTGTTCCAGGTCCTCAAAGGAGCTGTCCTTATCTGTCAGGAGGGAGGAGGCATCCACCAGGGGTGAGGGAAGTCCTGTGGGTCTGCTGTCTGCCCCTATATCCGGAGAGCCGGGGTGTAGCAGGGGTAAGGGGGAGGCCACAGGGGGTCTGTCCTGGGGCTGCAGGGCCGTGCCGGGCTCTGGCGGAGAGAGCATGCAGTAGAGGCTCTGCGAGGACCGGAGCCGCCTGCTCCCAGGAGCCAGCAGCCCATCAGCATCCGGGGGCAGGGAGCAGCAGTCCGGGGCAGACGTGCTGCTGGCAGCACCCCTGCTCACGATGGGGTATAGTGCACTGTACACTGCACACTGGAGCTTCTTCAGCAGCTGCGTGATCGGGTGGTCAGGAAGGCTGCAAGGACAGGAGTGGGCTGACAAGGAAGCTGCCACGCTCCCTGTGGAGGCAGCAGAGGGGCACGGGGACAACCCACCCCATCCTTGCCCCTCAGCAGAAAACATGTGTCGCGGCAGTCCCTTCTGGAGCTGGAGGGGCTGCGATCTCCTTGGTGGCCCCACCAGTCACTAACCCACCTGTCTAAGACTCGCACCCTCACCTGTGGCCTCCATCTATGAAGCTGCCACACTATGAAAGACTTCGGAGAGTGATTCGTGTGTTATTTCCTTTTGGTGGATGCTGCAAATAAAGTCTGACCTGCCCCCTCTGGAGGCTGAAGGGAGCCAAGGAAAGCCCACCATCACAGAGGGGGGCTAAGGTCCCCAGGTGGGCACGTCGTAGGGGCCCTTGGTGGCCACCAGGTGGGGGCTTTGGCAGCACTGACCCCATACAGCAGCTTCCCCAGACGTCCCAATTAATCTCCTTCCCTTCTAACCTCTTCCACGTCACCTGGCACCCAGGGGAGGAGCCCAAGTCTGGTGGACGGGGGCTCTGTGGGCCAAATTGAGGAGGGCCTGAAGGCCCAGGATACCTGAGCAGGTGGGAGACCAGGTTGGTCACCAGCGACAGGTCCCCTGGGCTCCTCTTGAGCTTAGCCCTCCAGTGCTTCGGCCAGTCCTGCAGGACAGGGGGCCTTGGAGGAAAGCACAGTGGGTCCCCCACGATGGGATGCCCCTCGTCCCCTCCACCCCAAGATTTCGCCTCAGGAGATGGTTGGGGCCCTCCCTGGGGTACAGAGAAACCCAAACCAGCAGGCCCATTTGACCCTGGCCCCACCCCCACCTGCTCCAATACTGGGACTCACATGGTCTTGCTCGTACTCAAGGATAGCGGCGTAGAGGGTCCGCTGCTCCCGCTCTTCCGGGGTCAGGGCAACCTGACTACAGAACCTCCTGGGGAGGAAGGATGAGGCTGCAGACCTACAGACGTGGGAGCCGCTACGAGTCCTCCCCACGGGTGCCTGGGAGATGTGCAGACACACCTGTTGGCGGCCTCCTGGAGCCGCAGCCGGCGCTCTTCCATCTTCCGCTGGAGCTGGGGCGGCAGAGTTAAGCAGCCGGCAGGGTCTGGTCCCAGCGGGCCCTCCACCCCTTCCCTGTCCCTCATTCACTCCGCACACCACCAAGCACCCAGGATGTCCCAGGGGACAGAAGGAACACAGGGGTCCAGCGAGCGGGCGGGGCTGGAAGGACAGGCACTGACTCAGGGAGGGGCTGTTTCCAGGGAAGACTTCCGGGGGAGGCACTTCTTTGCCAACTTGAAGGCTGGAGAGGGGAGAGGACCAAGCCCAGGGGACATGCCTCTCCAAAGCTGGTAGAATTCTCATTCCCACATCCCGACCCTGGCACCTTTACTCCCTACTCTGCCCCCTTCTGTGCCCTCAGCTCAGTGACACACTCTCAGTCCCCTCAGGGACAACAGGATGGCTGAAAGGATGCTGTCTGCTCCCGGGCTTTGGCGATCCCCAGGTTCTCCATCATTTGCCGCTGCAGAGAGAGGGTCTGAGAAGGGAAGGAGGAGGTAAGCCCCCATCCTGGACCCTTCTCTGACCAACCCCAGGCCCTCCCTGGGTCCTGCTCACCAGGGATGTCTTCTGCATGGCCTGGCTGGGATCCAGACGGGCCATCCGGGCCTCGTATGCGGCCTTCAGCTTCTGGTTCTGCAGTGAGGCCTCCTCCAGGGGTGTCAGCTCTCTGGAAATGGTGACAAGCTGCTGTCCAGGCCCCAGGAACCCCAGAACACCTCAGGTGACCTGAAGAACCTCCTTCTCACCCTCGCCAACTTTGCTCTGAGACCCGGGGGGTGAGGAGGAGGTGCTGCTGCGATGGGGGCAGTCAGGAAATGTAGAGTGAGCGGTCTGGGGTGGACTGGAGATCCCCGCCCCTTCTAAACTGCCTTTCCCAAACACAGGCCTTGGTATTGCCAGGAATTTTGGCTTTTCAAGTAAAGCTGGACATCTGAACTTTGTAAAAAAATCAGTTGTATATGTGTGACAATGACATGAAACTCTTTAAAGGCCCCGCATGGGCCAACAGCTTCATTAGCTGCAACCTGTGAAAGGCAGAACAACAGTCCCAGGAGCCACTACACCTTGAAAGCTTTTGGCCTCATACACCTTCCTGCTTCTGGGGCGGCAGAGGAGAGGATGTGGGAAAACAAGTCTGAGGGAGGGGAGTCTGTCCTGAGACTCAAATCCTGTGCCTGGTCTGCCCTGAAGCCGCAAGTGTAAAAATGAGGTGCCTGGAAAGCCAGAAGGGGCACAGCAGCCTCCCAAGCAGCCGAGGCCCAGGAGGAGCGGGTCCTTGTTTACCCTACTTGGGACTCACTGGGCTTCTTGCATCCATGTCTTAGTGTCTTTCACCAGTTCCAGAAAACTGTCTATGATTATATCTTTACATAATGCCTCTCCCATTTCCTTTCTCCTCTCTTTCTGGAACTCCAATAAGCTTATGTTAAAACTTCTGTCTCTCATATTTTCTGTCTTTGTTTCTGTGACAAATGCTTTTTGACCTTTTTTCTAACTCACTAAAATTCTCTCTCCAACTATGTCTACTCTGCTACTATAAACATGTCCACTCACTTTTATATGTATGTGTGGGTTCTACAGGAAGACATAATTTATTCTTGTTCCCAACTAGTTTTTATTTTTTTATTATTTAAAAAATTTCTTTTTGGTGGCCGGCCAGTACGGGCAAACCTGCCCAACTAGATTTTAAAAACAGCTTCAGCATTGTGTGTTCTGTTTTATTTCTATTTGGCTCTTTATTTGCTGGGACAGGTTTTATAGTTTCTTATTCCCCCTACACATATTTCAAACTTGCCTTTTGTTTCTCTAAGTACAGACAGCATAATTGTTAACCTGTGCCTGATAACTCTACTTGCAGACTTTGCAGATCTGTTCCTGCTATCGTTCCCTCAGCTTCCTGTCTTCTTCTGTGCTTGCTTATCTTCCACTGTGTGCTACTTATTTTATGAAAGATGAAAGTGTTTTCCTCCAGAGAACATGCCTTTGCCTCTGCCAGCAAAAAGGGTATTCCCTTTCTGGGACCCATATTAACCAAATTCACCAGGATCAGCTCACGCTGCTCGGCCTCTAAACCCAATGCCAAGTCTCAGCCCACCTCCCATTTTGCCCCATCTTACTTCTTAGAGCTTTGCGACTCTACCACCTGAAGCTTCTGGAAAATTTCAGGTGGCAGAAAAGGAGAGAGCTTCCCTCCTTCATCTGAGTATACCCGGCGGTGTCGGCTGGTGGATGAGGGCACTGGAGTAGCCGCAGGCATGGCTGGCTTCAGGAGTGTTTTCCCTGCAAGCCATACATAGCCAAGGGTTAGCCGGGTGGGCTCATATTCCATAAAGGAAATGCATCCTTTGGGGGATGCCCCCAGAGACCCACCAAGCTTGGCAGCTGTTGACTGGGCCCTCTCCAGACACTGCTCAGCAAGCTTCAGCATCTTTGAGGTATCAGGGGGCACAGTTTCCCCGGCTTCTGGGGAAAGGATAAGAAGGCTGGTCACAGTCAGCAGTACCAGTAATCAGATGCTCACTGAGATAAAAACCAGGAAGAGAAAAGGCTGGGCAAGCCCACTCCTCATGAATCTCTGGTCACCTGCCCTGGGTTTGCCCTGTGTGGCTCTGTGCTTGGCCAGCCCAGCATCAGTCTGACTGTCTGAGCCCTGTGCCTGCATGGAGACTTTCCTCCTCACTGATGCCTTCAACTGCAACTACAGCCCCTCAGGGAAGTGGGCCCCACAGCCCACATGGGCCATTGCACAGAGATGAGGATGTGCTGAGGGGAATCTCCACACCCCATCTCCCACCTGCTGCATGTACCGCAGACATGCCTCTCTGCAGGCATGGCCCCGGCACCTCTGGTTGTGCCTAATACACCCCACTTGCTCATCCAGAAGCTCTTTCCTGCCCCATCCCTCCTCAGGGGATGGCTCCCATCAGCAGACACACACCCTGCAGGAGCTGCCACTCTGTAACCCTTCCCTGGACCCAGCCAGCCCCAGTTCCTGATCCCCTTCCCTGCTCCCCTTGACAGCAAACCCCTCACAGACCCCCGTTTTCTCTTAATTCCACACCCTGTTTCAGCTCCAACTTCCCTGGAAACCCCTTTCACTCTTCCCCACCTTCGCAGGCCACTTGGGGCTTCTCTGTCCTTTGGGACATCACCCTCCCCCGGGCTCCTCCTGCTGCTCCCTCCTCCCAGGCCCTCAGTCCTGGACTGGCGCCTCACTGTACCTGGCCTCTGTGCTCCTATGTGCAACGGGCTGCTTGCCACCTCAAACTTAATGTCCTTCCCTCATAGGTCCACTCCTGACCTACCACGTTCCCCCAGCAAGTCTGGTTGGTGCCCCCCTCAAGTGCATTCCCAAGCCATTCACTTCTCTCACCTCTGGTAATACAGCCACTGCTGCCCTCACTACAGAGCCTTCCAGAGGCTCTGCTTTCATGCCAGCCTCTCCCTTAAAGCTCAAAGCCTCCAGGGGCTCCTTTCACCCCTGAAGGACCCCAGCCCCACCCAACATGTACAGAGCCCTGCCTGCACCCACTCCCCTCAGGGACTTTACACACCCCTCTGCTGGGAATGCTCCCTCCAACTTCACACAGCTTACGCCTCCCTACCCTGGAGCCAAGCCTTGCCCCACCCCAATCTCCATCCCCTTCCCTACAGATGGGTCTTTTCCTGCCACCAAATCATGCTATGACAGCTCATGCTATGACAGCTCATGCTCACTGAGTTCTCAATGGTCCAACTTTTGCTAATGACTCGGCTGGAAAGACATGGGACCTCCAAGCCTGGGACTCATCAAGGGCTAAACTGACCACAGTTTGCACAGCATGGAAGGATGGGCGAGGCTGAGAGCCATACCTTTAGTGGTTTCCACTTCCTCCAGTAACACCTGGGAGATGTAATGAATGCTTCTCAGGTATTCTGTATATGCTTCCTGGGTCCAGGGAAGAGAAATGGTGAGAGTCAGGCTGCTAGAAGGGAATCACTCCATTACTCCTGCCTGGTGCAGGCTTATCTAGTGGTTAGCTAGTTAGCTAGTAATCTCTCCAGGGTCTATCAGTGGTGCTCTGCCTGGGGCACAGATTGTATGTTCACTCTCAAGACTCAAAGGAAAAGATGTCAGCACCTGGGAATGATATCAAAGCACTTCTTCCTACAACTCCTGCATGGGGCAGTGTAAGCTAGGAGCCAGCGGGCATCAATCTCTCCTCTCACTTCCCTTCTCTCCAGCACAGGCAGGAACTGACATCCTCATTCAGTGGCCTGGGGAAGCAGCATCAGCAGTTGTTGTCATTTTTCACTTTATGCAACAAGTTTACTTCCTGTGCAACTCAAGGGCTGGTCATTCAGTGACTTAAACAGACACTTCCCGAGAGGTTAAAGAGGGAGTGAAGTTGCAAATCTTAGAATCACTTCCTGGCTTGGGTTCTGGGAAATCCCTTTCCCCAAACCCCACTGTAAGTATTCCCTGTGCTCACAGGAGCCTGGAACACTTGAATGTTGCCAATTTCAAGGGTGTGACCACTCAGCCCAGGGCTCTCCGTCAGAACTCGGGGCATCAGCAGCACAGCATGCTGCATGTTTTGTTCTATCCCAGTTGTCAACGTACCCATTTCAATTAAGTCTACACCTCAGAGATAAGAACAAAATAGATTCCAGGCAGGATTTCTAACTGGTGGGGGCACCTGCTGTTCTAGAAAACCCACCTGGGGAAAGCGGCAAATTCAGACACTAGGATGTTCCTCCTAGACACACGCAGGCTCCTGCCCTCCCGGTGCAGCTCAGCGCGCTCGGCCGGCTTTCCTACCTGGTCGCCATCCTCCGAGCCAGTGCCCGTCGTCGGTAACCAACCACACCCTCCCCCGCCTGCATGTCCTTCTAAACACCGTCCGCCGGCGACTGCGAGCAGTCGTCAGTGAGCGGCAGTCGGCCTCTTCCCAATTCCGTCCCCTGTGACGATCTGGTTAAAGCGAGTCCCTGCCCAGGACACGCACACGCGTGGACCCGCTGGTCACAGACCCGCCAGCAGCCCCTCTGCGCGTCAAGCGCCGGCTCACGGAGCAGCCGGGAGCACCGAGGCCCGGAGTGCTGCGCGCGTCCCGGACACGCTGCAGGCGCGGCCCTGGCCCTTCTCCCCGCGTCCAGGAGCGGCCGGCGAGGGTCCCGCCCCGCCCCGCCTCGCCTCATCCGGGGCCGGTTGCCGGT